CCCAGTTCCAGCTGAAGAAAAACAGCCCCAAAGCATGATGCTGCCACCACCATGCTTCACTGTGGGTATGGTGTACTTTTGGTGACGTGCAGTTTTGTTTTTGTGCCAAACATATCTTTTGGAATTATGGCCAAAATGTTCAACCTTGGTTTCATCAGACCCGAACACATTTTCCCACATGCTTTTGGAAGACTTCAGATGTGTTTTTGCAAAATTTAGCCGGGCTTGGATGTTTTTCTTTGTAAGAAAAGGCTTCCATCTTGCCACTCTACCCCATAGCCCAGACATATGAAGAATACGGGAGATTGTTCACATGTACCACACAGCCAGTACTGGCCATATATTCCTGCTGCTCCTTTAATGTTGCTGTAGGCCTTTTGGCATCCTTCTTGACCAGTTTTCTTTTCATCTTTTCATCAATTTTGGAGAGATGTCCAGTTCTTGGTAATGTAACTGCCATGTTTTCTCCACTTGATGATGACTGTCTTCATTGTTTTCCATGGTATATCTAATGCCTTGTAAATTCTCTTGTACCCTTCTCCTGCCTGCTATCTTTTAACAATGAGATCTCTCTGATGTTTTGGAAGCTCTCTGCGGACCATTGCTTTTGCTGTAGGATGTGACTAAGAAAATGTCAGCAAAGACCTACTAGAACAGCTGAACTTTATTTGGGGTTAATCAGAGGCACCTTAAATGATGACAGGTGTGTACTGACTCCTATTTAACATGATTTTGAATGTTATTGCTCAATTCTGAACACAGCTACATTCCCAGTTATAAGAGGGTGTGCACACTTATGCAATCACATTATTTTAGTTTTTTATTGTTTGTTTTTTTTTTCAATAGAGTTGTACAGTTTATAGGTCACATTAAAGGTGGAAAACTGTATATTTTCTATTTCATGTAAAGTTTATGTTGCCCAGAATTGGCTTTCTAGAGATGGACAAATTCCAAAAAAATGATTTGTACTTCAGGTTTAGATTTGGAGTTTGCTTATGTCAGGAGAGAGCATGTAGGAGCTGAAGAAAGCATTACAATATTCTCTCTCCTCATTTCTCAGGTTATTAGTTCAGAAACTTAGGCTGGGATATTTATTTTATGAAATTATTTGTTAGTACTTTTCATACTATGCATTGTTGTCAAACTTTATATCAAATATACTCCAAATCATGGTGGTTGGGCATACTTATACCATTCTATCTTTGTCTAAGCAGCTCTACAATCAGTCCCAAATATCCTTCTTGCCTTACGTTCATTCTAATCTTGGAAACAAAGAAAGCGTTTTAAGTTTATTTGCAAATATTTTCTTTCACTTCCATTTAATCAGTGGTACAGTGATTGTGAAAATTACTAGAGATTAACCTTCATCTTCTGTGATTTTTTACAGGGCAACACAACAGTAATATTTTTCCACCAGTCCCAAGATTGTAGAGAAAGCTTAGTAGATGCAGTTATAAAATGTAATAATACATGTATACTTTTATTCACTTTGTTATCAACCAAGTGTATCGAACACAACTGACTTTTGTCCTCATCCTGGACCAGCCTTGTCTCTTTGTAATTACATTTTAGGTAAGATACATGTTAAACACATGTTTTTTTTAACAGTGTAAATATATTAGCAAGTACTTTTTTGATCCATAATTAAAATATGCAATACACTTTAAGTGAGTTAGGCTTATGTACTAGAGGAATTGATTTACTTCACACAATCAAATGTGTGAATATTCACTTCAGTTAGCCAAATGTTTGGTTATAAAACAAGATTTCGCTTTTCACATGATTGGATAATTGAAGTAAATATTCATACACTTCATTTAGGAAAGATTCGAAACTCTTTTAGTTAATAATCCTTTGTCTCTTAAACAATAAAAAACTTGAATCAATCAATTTACAAGCTGTAGTGTCTTAAACAGTAGATCATAAGTGATGCAATTTTAATCCTTAATACAATATTGTATTTAAAGGGTTTCCCCACAATACAGGGCCCCCAAAAATCCATACCAGACCCTTACCTAGGATAAGTGTCTGGTAGATATCCACTTCCAGTTCCAATTATTACATTCGTCTCTTACATGTAAAAAAACCATAATTGTTTAAAATAGAAATCTACTTATAACCCCCAAACATTATATATATTTTTAAGAAGATGCCCTGGGGAATCAAATGGCAAGTGTTGCATATTTTTATGTCACATAGTATTTGCGTAGTGTTTTTTTAAATGCAAATGTTTTGGAATAAATACACTGTAAAGAATTTTAATGCACAAATACAAAATGAAATACCCATTTTTTTTGTAAAATATAAAAGATGATGTTACACCGAGTAAATAAATGCCAAACATGTCATGTTTTAAATTGCATATGCTAGTGGGGCGGTGTCAAACTACGGTACCTAAAAATCTCAGCAATGCTTTAAAAGCCTTTACAGGTTATCAGTTTAGAGTTACACAGGAGGTCTAGTGCTAGAACTATTGTTCCCACTCTAATGTTGGGGTGATACCTCACATATGTGGCGCAATCATTGTTTACATATGCATGGTGGACTGATACTTGGGTTCACTTTTGCATGTGAGCACAGTAGGACAGGGGTGCTTTACATTTTTTTAATATTTATTTGCTTTTAATCTTTTTTAATAATGTAACTAAACAACACCCCTTGTGATAGCATGGACCATGACATGTCCTCTTTTTGGAGAGATCTGGGGTGTATTAAACCCCAGATCTCTCCTCTGCCCTCCAAAGCATCAGAATTTTTGTCACTTCTGGTTTCTGACATTTCACAGTGGGAGGAACAACATCCATTTTTCTAACTGTGTCTCAGGAAATGGATGCTACTAGTCGCGTTCTTATCAGGCCCCCCAATTGCTCAAGAGAGCCCGGTAAATGTGGTGGGAGAGGTGCTTGGGGGGGGGCGCTCTAGCCACTTGGATTACTTTTACTGGCTGCAGCATCCCTGGCTGAAAAAAAAAAATGAAATCTATACTTGACCCTTATCTGGGCGTTCAACATCAATATGCGGAGGGCATTCCAGGGGGACAATGCACCCTCCCCATAAATAACAAGCACAATATTTAAAGGATTTGTTTTTTTTCAATATTGCCCTTAAGTCACATAAAAAATGTCCTGTTCACTCATTCCTGTCAATGACATATTGAAAAAAATAAGCTTTCTAGAAATGATTTTTATATTTCATTAGATTTAATAAATCAACATGACAGTAGTAACAAATTATGTATTATATTCCCTCTGATCATTATAAAGGCTTTTACTTCACCCACCAATTAACTGAAGCATAAAAATAGTTTTCTATAATCTCATGCCACCTTCTTTACCATTCAACACTGGGATCAATACATAATGCTTTTCCCAATAGGGAAGGCATTTTACTAGCTGACACCTGGGACATTTGGAGTGGGTGGTACATAGATCTGGTTACACAGATGGTCTTCTTCATTTTAACAACTAAATTATTTATATGCATGGAGAGGTTTTCAGCCCCACAGTCCATACTCATCAGCATATCAAAAGACTGTAGCTTAAAGCTGTATCTAATTTAACATCACGTTCCTATACTTTAAATTTTGGTAAACACTTTTCTAGGAATATAAAACAAGGATTGTATGTTGTAACTTAAAAACCACATCACTGTTACCATATACTGTATTCATTTTGCAGCATAAACATTACATTACAGATAAACATATGCCCTGACAAAGCAATAGGTACTTAAAAAAGAACAATACAGAGAAGTTACACTATTAGGCTACGTTCACACTAGCCTTGTGTGCAGGCGGCAGAGAGGCGTTTGGGAAGCGTTTTTACCGCTTCCCAAACGCCTCTTCCGATTCTGCACATTACAGCACATGGTGCTGTTCTAACAGGAGCGTTTGCGTCGCGGCAAAACGGACGCCTCTGGTCGAGTCAGGAGGCTTTGAAGCCTCCTATTCTCGTCTATGGTGCCGCTCCGCAAACGCCCGGCCGGCGTTTGCGGTGCGGTTGCGACGTGGTTGCGGGGTGTTTGCGGAGCGGTAACACCACTCAAATGCATTATAGGCGTTTGTGGGGCGTTATTAACGCTCGGCAAACGCCTAGCAACCTCCGCTAAACCGCGCATGCGGCGTTTGCGGAGCGTTTTGCCGAGCGTTAAAAACGCTCCGCAAACACCGGACCAACGCTTGCCAAACGCTATGGGGCGTTTGGCAAGCGTTGGCAAAACAGCCTAGTGTGAACGAGCCCTTACCTTTACAAAGAAAAAAAAAAAAGAGAACATGACAGTTCCTGGTCCTCTGTGAATCCTGAAATATGCAATGCAACATTAAGATCAACAATTGTAAACAGAGCAGAGCTTTTGCTGTTCTTTTATTCTTTTGTTAAACTTAAAAAATCACAAGGTACATAAAAAAATTTTTTTGTGCATGTGTCTACATGTTTAATCTCAAATTGATTTCCTCCACATATGCCAATGTGTGGCACAGGGACCTCAGCAGTCTGTAATGGCAACTTTGATTAATGACATTGATCTCTACTAGCCTCATTTAATATATTCCCAGTTTTGTATTGTCTTCTCTAGCATATCCACAGCCGAAAAAGTAGCAGTCCACACTTTCTTACCCACATTTCCTATATTAGGTCCAGTGGCATCGCTGGGGGGGTGGGGGTGATACCATCCAGAGGGTAGCTACAGGCCCCAGGGTTTTTTTTTCTCAGTTGGAAAGTAGCAGAGCAGAGTTCCGCTACCTCCGGTGCTAACTCTGTGTTTTCCTCTCACTGGCTACAGTGTTGTCACTTCTAAATACAGAAGCTCGGCCTGTTTCTGCGCCCTGATCACTGCCATATCCCATACCATCATCCTGATCACTGCCATATCCCATACCAGCATCCTGATCACTGCCATATCCCATACCAGCATCCTGATCACTGCCATACACCATACCTGCGCTCAGGGCCATATCCCATACAAGCACCCTGATCACTGCCATATCCCATACCAACATCCCGATCACTGCATACCCCATAACGGCATCCTGATCACCGCTATACACCATACCTGCGCCCTGATCACTGCCATATCCCATACCAGCACCCTGATCATCGCCATATCCCATGCCAATGCCCCGATCACCGCCATACCCCATACCAGTGCCCTGATCATCGCTATAAACCATACCAGAATCCTGGTCACCACTGTACCCCATACCAGCACCCTGATCACTGCCATACCCCATACCAGCATCCCGATCACTGTCATACACCTTACCAGTGTCCTGATCACTGCCATACCCCATTCTAGCAACCTTATCACCATCATACACCATACCAGCACCCTGATTACTGCCATACACCATACCAGCACCCTGATCACCGCCAGACCCCATACTAGCACCCTAATCACTGCCATACCCCATACTAGAATCCTGATCACCCATACACCATACCAGCATCCTGATCACCGCCATACCCCATACCAGCATCTTGGTCACTGCCACACCCCATACCAGTGTCCTAATCAAAGCCATCCACCATACCAGCATCCTGATGACCACTATATCTCATACTAAGGAACTTTTCTCATAAAAAATTACCCTGCATCCAAACCAATCCTAAGTGTCCAAAACCATATATCAAATATAAATATAATTAAAGTCTCTATATAATAAAGTCTTTTTCTCAAAATAAGTATTTCTTTCCTTTATCCCACGTGATGTTTCCAGATTTTCTTGTACCTCAAAAAAATATAAACTCAAGATAGTGTATTACCTCAAACAAATAATTAATGTGCCATAAATCGTGAATCATGCATAAACTGCATAACGTGCCAATACACACGTGGGAAAAAAAAAAAATATATATATTAAATCTAAAAATATATATAAATAATATACAAAATATACAAAATAATCAAAATAAATAGCAATAGTACATGTGAATACACTCCAATTGTGAACACTATAATTGCAAACAATAAACAGTGATTCACTCCAATTTAGTGTAAAACCACACTTAATACAAAAAGTGATAAAATTTCCAAGACCAGCTTTATCCTAAAATTCCTTCTCCATTTGTGCAAAAAAGGTATATAATTGGTGTTTCAATAAAGTAATCCACTCCAGCTGGTGTAACAGTGAATATTTACCCTACGTTAATTCCAAAAGGGCATTCCTCAAATATTGGATGAAAACATTCTCCAGGATCCCAATTACTGTTGTTTCTCCTCCATTCTCCTCATGGAATAAATCAGGGATTAGAGATGATGGTGGATTTCTTAAAATAACATTTATTAAGTAACTTACATTGAAAACAGAAGAATACAGCTCCCAGTAGCAGAGAAGCTTCCCATGTATGATCGAAAACAGAATACAGCTCCCACTAACAGAGAAGCTTCCAATGTATGCTTTAGTAGGGGAACCAGCACATGTTCCGACTTCCAAAATGGCCGCTGTAGCACTTCCGGTTCCGCGTCAGTGCGTCAGACGTCACGTGTCCCGATGTGTTTCGTCACTTCCTGGACTTTTTCCCCTTGAGTAACTAATCTCCAAGCCAATCCATGATAGGTAGTTCATTTAAGGGCTGTGGAACCCATAATCAGCTAGTAATAGGTTGCGGAGGTTATGCGTTGGTATGGATACTGTTTCTATGTCCACCCACAAGTGTTCTGAGGACGAGTGAAACCAATGCTTAATCTGTGTCAACAAAGCAGCTGTATAGTAGTCTTTAACATCCGCTAGCACTACATGCCTCCTACTGATTTATGTTCTATAAGTTGGGTGTATGAGCATCTAGCCCATTTCTGGTTCTATATGTATTTTTAAACAGGGATTCTAAGGAAGATAAATATGATGATTTGAGGGGAATGGGGAGAGTTCTGAAAAGATAATTTGTGGGAGGTATAACATTTTGAAAGCGGCTAGTGTACCTGTCCAGGAAAGCTCAAATTTGGTTGTGCATGTAAGTTCGTTACTGAGCTTTTTAATAAGGGGCTGGAAATTAGATTCCGCTAAAGTATCAGTGGAGGGGGTTAAACTGATACCTAGATACGGCAGACCCCCCAGAGGTCCAAGTATACAGAAAGGATGTTTCTAAGGTTGTCTTGGCCAATAAGGAAATCCCTAGGTTTAAAATGAGAGAACGTTCACCTTGTAGTATGAGATGGTGCCAAATTGTGAAAGAATAGAATGTACTTGTGGTAATGATTGTATAGGGTTAGTTAACACCAATATCACATCATTGGCGAATAAACTAATGACGTGAGTTTTGTCGTGGAAACGGAAGCCCAAGATGGAAGCATTAGTTCTAATGGATTCCGCCAGTGGTTCAGTCATAAGATTGAAGATGATGGGCGATAGTGGGCATCCCTGTCTTGTGCCATTAGTAATATTGAAGGTCTTAGATAATAGATTGGAAATGTATACTTGGGCTGAAGGGGTGGAGTACAATGCCAATACTGCTGAGAGTATTGGCCCCTGAAAACCAAATTTTTCCAGGACTTGAGTCATATATCCCCAATGTACTCTATCAAACGCCTTCTTGGCATCAATAAATAGAAGCAGAGAGGGCGTTCGGGAGCGCTCAGCGTAATCTATAATGTTGATTATTCGTCTCGTCGTGTCTGACACTTGACGTCCTTTTGTAAAGCCTGTTTGGTCCCCTTGTACTGGGTATGGTATACTTTTCATCAGTCTAAGTGACAAAAGCTTGGCATATATTTTGATATCCGAGTTTAACAATGACATTGGTCTAAAGTGTGAAGGTAAACTGGCAACTTTCCCAGGTTTAGGAAGCATGACAATATATGCCCTCAGCATTTCTTGGGGAAAGAGTTGTAGTTGTTGTGCAACGGTAAATAAATTTATAAGATGGGAGGCCTAAATGTGGACCGAAGGTTTTGAAATATTCATTCATAAACCGGGGGATTTCCCGGTAGGTAGGGATTTGATAACCTGAAGGATTTCAGATGTCGTGAAAGGGGCATTGAGTTGGCGTAAGTGCTCTTCAACAAGGGAGGATATATTCAGCTTAGCAAGAAATAGGTCTATATTGCTGGCAGAAGGTTGAAAGGTAGTTGGGTCATTTTTTTAAGTTATAGAGACTCTCATAATAGTTAGCAAACGCATCTGCAATTTGCTTGGGATTCATGAGTTTTCTCATTTGTTTCTTTGGGTTTTAAGTCTATTTGCCAAAAACTTCCCTGATTTACTATTATGGGAATAGTACTGGAGAAGCGGAGGAATTTATCATGTTGAAGCTGTAGGAGTTCCCTAAATTCTGTCCTAAGTTTCTGGATAGAAGCAGAAACAGCGTGGGATGGGCTTTGTTCAAGGTTTCTAGTGATTGAATGTCTTTCAACAAAGAATTGAGTTTCAAATTGGAAATCTGCTTGGAATGTGCACAGAGCTGCAGGATCATACCATGCATGTATGCCTTATGGGAGTTCCATAGTGTGAATGTGTCAACATCCCCAGTATTGTTAGACTCAAAATTATTTCATATATTTCATATGTGTCGAGACAGCCCCGCCATGTTGTTGGGGTCTTGATTTATAGTGTTATTACAATGCCACAGAAAGATAGGGAAGCTGGTATCCTTCTCTATTATAGTTGAAACCAGAGCCGCGTGGTCAGACCACGTAATGGTAGATATAACGGAGGATATCTGCTACAGTAACCACTTATCAACTAAGCATAAATCAATACGTGAATAAGAGTGGTGATACGATGAAAAGTATGAGTAGTCCTGCTCATTTTCATGTAGACTTCACCAGGCATCACAGAAGTCTTCGTAATGGAAAATTGGTTGTAGATGGGGCACGTTGCCTCTAGGTTTGGAGGACATATCTATTTGTGGGTCCACTGTGAGATTGAAGTCACCGCACATCAATAGGTTGCCATATTGTTCTGTGGAAGTTTTGTTAAAGACTTTGCAAATTAATTTTAATTGTCCAGTGTTTGGAGCGTATATATTCACCTCGACCTTGAGCGTTTATGGATACCAACTTAATCATCTGGGAGGCGAGATAAACGGAGATCTGTAAATTGACACATTTGGATGTCTGGTACAAAGGATATTGTCAAGGATAGCTCTATGATTTTGTTGAGGATCCATTCCAGGAGAGATTCATCCGAATGTATGCAGTACATCTTAAGTGTATGGAAAACGGAAGCTGGAGAGATGAGGCCATAAAAAAGGTGAATAGAGGAGTGACAGGAACTGGAAGTGGAGCATTCTCGGTTGCTTCGGTTGGAATCGTAATGAGTAACTGAAAAGAATAAAAAATGTTCTATAAGTAACTGTGTGCAGATAATCTGAAATTCTTGGGGGGGGGGGTAAGAAAGGGAGCTAGGTTTTTAAGGCTCCTATGGTCGAGACTCACATGTTTTCGTGGTTTCAGGAATTGATTTGATGCCTAACAGCCCCCTATAGATGGTGTTTGGAAGGCTTCTTGTGCAAGACTACTTGCCAGCTATCAGCCGAATGTAATGGAGCAGCCTGTGGCAGATTAGTTGAGGAGAGGTCAGGAAGAATATCCCAGGTGTGCAGCAATTGAAGACCATCTTCCAGGGAGGAGACGAGTATGGAGGTGCCCTTATATGTCACAGACAGTTTAGCTGGATATCTCCATTTATAGCCAATGGAGTGGTTTCTCAGGGCCTTGGTGTTTATATTTTTGCGTTGCCTTAGGGTATGTGCTGTCAGATCTGGAAGGATTTGCAGGTGATTTGCGCCATCTGGAATCTCCCCTTTTTATAGAACGCCTCTAGGAGTTTTTCTTTGGCTTGATAAAAATGGATTCTCAGTAAAACATCTCTCGGGATGTGTGCGGGAAGAAAAGATGACTTAGGAATCCTGTGGACCCTATCAATAGTTAGGTTTGCAGGGGATAATTCTGGTACAGCTTTATGGAATAGGTCACGAATATAGTGTGGTAGTTGAGACCAGGGGCGGACTGACCATTTGGAAACTTGGACACTGCCCGAGGGCCCGGGGTCAGTAGGGGGCCCCATGAGATACCCCTGGTACCTTTTTCATAGGCTTTTTTGAGTTTGGGCAAGGACACAGGGGCCCCATGATCCCCTATAGCCCGGGGGCCCCATGAGTTGTCAGTCCGCCCCTTGTTGAGACGCTTGAATATCTTCAGGTATACCTCTCAAATTTTTAAGTTATTGCGCCGAGATCTATCCTCCAGATCTGCGAGCTTATTTTTTTTTTTTTTTTTTGTTTTGTTTACAAACGATTTTATTTTTTCAAGAAATAGTCTGTAAAATAACAGTACAGCTTCAAACAATGTGTACAGTAGTAACAAAGCACAGTTGAATTGTGCATTTCAAAAAGGCACAATCATATAGAAAAAGTAAAAATGAAGAGAAAAGAAAAAGAGAGAATACAGTTTAAGTACATGAGAAATATAAATAAGGAGATAGGTAGAATTATATATCTGTCAACAGTACAAGTCAAGCAACCCTCAAATGGAATGCCCCTAGTCATGTAGTAAATATCTATGAACCTTCCAAGATTCCCATTTTCTATCAAATAAGTGCATTTTGTCCAGTAAGGTATAATGAATTCATTCCATAAGCATCACAGCATCAACTCTATGTGAAACAGAGGCCAATGGTACTGTGA